CTTTTTTTTTTTTTTTTTTTTTACAAAAAAAGCACCTGAATATATATATTATCTAAGTTGCAAACCTCTAGAAGTGTTTCCCAACTTTGGCAAACTTTAAGATGGGTGGACTTCAACTCCCAGAACTCCCCAGACAGCATTCTGATTTGGGAATTCTGGGACTTGAAGTCCACCCATCTTAAAATTAACATTGAGAGACCCTGCTCTAGAAACCCCCAAGACAGCACCCCGAGTTTGTGTGGAGCTAATAAGAACTTGATCTCTGCATTTACCTTTGCAACAGGGCTTCTTTGCCTACTTGAAAATTTATTAACGGGGTGTGTGTGTCAATTTTGGGCTCAGTCCTGGTCATAATTCAAGAACTACTCGTAATGAATTGGGCTGTTGGTTGTGCCTTTGCAAAAAGCCATTTTTTCTCCTCAAGAATGAGGTTGGTAGCTATAACATACCACATCTCTTCTTTCCTCCTTTGTTATTTTGTTCACTGAAAATCTCAATTAAGCCTAAACATTAATGAAGGGATTAACTGTGTATGCTGGCTAGTTGGATGCCCAGCAGATGGTGGTGAGCAAAGAAGAGCAATAACTTATTCCTTTTTTTGGGGGGGGGGGGATGGATGGATGGATTCCCAACTTCTCATTAGACACACAGAATACAGATATTTATCATTTCAGCGGAGTTTGTTGATCTCTCTCAACATTAGCATTTTAGAAATCCTAGTGAATATTGGTATCAGCTTCTTTATCTTTAAAGGTTTATCTAAACAGGAAAGCATTAATCATCTTTAATCAATATTGTATAAATGTCACTGTACTCAAATATAAGGTACTGCTTGTGTTTTATAAAAGTACAGATAGTTCTCAACGTTTTGCCCTTTAATCGTGGCAAAATTGAGCATGAATCACTTAACAATCATCTTGGTCAGGGGTAGGCAACCTCGGCTCTTTTATAATTCTATGATTTCTCATTATTTTATCTTTCTGGATGCCCTAATGGGTGTGGGTGGAGGACTAGTGAAGTCAATCTGCAAAAGCCAGAGATCCTGCACAGTGTCCCCCCCTCCTTGTGCTGCCTAGAAGTGATTGGTGACTGTGCCTCCCCCACTTTGAGGAGGGGGGGTGAAAGGACAGTCCAGTTGAAGTCCAAAGAGAAATTACATTCCTTTGCCTCCAACTAGGGCAGGGGTAGGCAACCTTGGCTCTTTTATGACTCGTGGACTTCAACTCCCAGAATTCCTGAGCCAGCCATGCTGAGGGGAAAGGGAGAGGTTTCCAAGCTGAGCCACGCTGGCTCAGGAATTCTGGGAGTTGAAGTCCACGAGTCATAAAAGAGCCAAGGTCAGGAACCTGCTCAATCTCACACTTGATGCATCTCCCAGTTGATGTCAGCATAGGTAAAGTCCCCCCCCCCCCCATCACTACTGTGGTGTGTTTCTTGCATACATTTGCTAACTGGTTAGCAAAAAGTTAAGTCTATTTTTTTCTGCTTTTCCCAGGCATATACATCACTAATGAGTACCAGCGGGTGGGGGGAACAAAAAGGGTAATCAGTGCAAAATGCAAGATATTTG